TTTCCTCTTGGCTTGTAACCAGACTATAAACAAATGCCAGATAAGCTCTGGGTTACTTTATGATTCCAGTTTAGCCTTTCTCTCTCTCTTTTTCAAATCATTTGGACAGAGCATATTTATTACTTGGCAGGCCAGTAAAATGTAAATAGGGTTTCCTGAAGAATGGTTCAAAATTCATTGGAATTTATCATTTCACAAAAACAACAAATGACAGGAAGGAAAGGCAAGGGACCTAATATTTAACGGCACAGACCATATGCCCAGTGATTTATCTGCATGCATTCTCCCATGCAGCCTTAACAACAACCCTGTGAAGTAAATAATCATCCTCACTTTACAGATGAAGAAACTGAGGTTCGGAGTAGTTAAATATGGGATTAGGGCTCTCAGTGAGAATGATGCAAAAAAGAACTCACACCCAGGACTCTGACACCAGCGTCGTATTCTTGCCACAGCATGGACAGGAGAGAGGCCAAGAGGCCACCGGCCACGGCAGAAGCCTCTGAGGATGTCTCTCTTTTAGGTTCTGTTGAAAGCTATGGGCCTTCCCCCCCAAAAATGAACTCTACATATTTACTCACAGCTTCGCCTACATTTTAGTTGGTTCACAGGCTTTTGTTGAAGCCATCTGTAAGCCCCTCAATTAAGAACCCCTAAACTAAAAGAATGAAAGTAGCTATTGGTTTGGCCTGACTAGCTGCCCAGGACACTTTTGTATTGATTTTCCCTATTAAATTAGAAACTCTTTTGTTCATGGAATCACTGAATATTAAAACTCAATAAAAATTATGGATTATTGATAACATGGAATATTGATAATCCATGGATTAGTTATCCAACTCATCTAAGCATGGAATTATATAACTTATATTTTAGAATCAGGAAAATCTTAGAATGTCAGAGCTGGAAGTGATCAAGTCCACACATAATTTTATTCCACAAAACTCTGATGGGTAGGAAGAATAACACACAGAGGCTGAGAGAGGGGACAAGACTTGCTGGAGGCCACCCATAATAGCGTGGAGTCAAAATTCAAATCCTAGTTGCTAGTTTCAAAGCCAGATTGTCAAGTTAAAGATTCAACCAACAGAAGGAAAGCCATGTAGTCTGCATGGGGCTGAGAAAAGTCAAGACAAGAATATTTGTTAAGTACCTATCAGATGCCAGGCAGTACCAGGGGAATGCAGATATAGTGCCATATTTCACCCTCCCAATAACCATGCAAAGTGAGTACTGTTTTTATTTTACAAATGGGGGAAGAAATTCAGAGTGGTGAGATAACCAGTCCAAGGTCACACAGCCAAGTATGACAACAACCATGTCCATTGCTTTATTTCCCAGATATAGACGAGAAGGGAAGTCAGAGAGAGTAAAACCCTGGTCATGTTTGGCTGATGCTTTTCCAAGGAGAAGAACTGAACCAATGGATACATACGCTCTGGTCTGTGGAGTGGTGGACACTATTCTGGACCTAGGTGAAATATCCCTTGGGATTCTCTGCATCCCCAGCCCTTTCTGATGTTATACTCATCCAGTATCCTCTAGCTAACTAGTCTGGCCTCCATGATACTAGGAAGGGGGCACCCTGGATGACAGCAACAAGAAACTCCATCAATGGGACAGTACATCTCCCACTGTGTGAACCAGTCATTGTTCTGTGGTCAAGGCAAGACCCTTAACTGTGATGACCCCACCAATGCTCTTTGCCCAACAAACCTAACAACAGCCGCTGATCTCTTGCTGTAACAGCCCTATCTATCTTCTTTCACACAGACAGTGGTCCTCATTCACATTCACATAAACCTTTTCAACGTCACTTAATATTTAGTTCACAGTGCACACTCACACAAGCTATTTCCTTTAACCTCATTGCAACTCGGTGAGGTTAAGTATTATTACATCCTCCTGCTACAGATTAGGAAACTAATCTGAGGCCCAGTGAGGTTATACAACTTGCCCAAGGTGACACTCTAGTAAGTGGGTGAGCCTAGGATTCAAACCTAGATATGTCTGAATCGAAAGTCTGTTCTGTTTGCATAATACCATATCTATATTTTAATGAATATCTCTATTTAATTCCCACAGCAGGGGTTAGACAAGTGTGAAGGTCTTTGGTCCTTCGTAACGGTGAGGAAGCTCACCTCAGAGAGGTTACAGGACTTGCAGGAGGGTGCTCTCTGGGATGATGTTGGTGCTGTCATCAGAATCCAGGTCTCCTGATTCCTAGTCTAGAGGACATTTTCTCCCAGACCATATTGCCTTTCCCATCAGACCATGTAATTTCTTTTTCTGGTTGGGACATGGAGCCAGCAGCCAACAAAGATCACAATCTGTCTCCCTGAAGTCTCCCTCTGTTATGAAATGAAAGTCGGTTTTTTTTTTTTTAAGTATTTCAGACAGAACCCAGGTTAAATCACCCTTGCATGCATTGAATTGGCCTAAGCTTCCCTGGTGCAGTTTGTTTCCTCTTCTCATCCTCTGGAGGACAGAACAAGGCAGGGTAGGCCCATCAGCATCATGGCCGGCTCAACTTGTCCATAGCCTCTCTATTCACCCTAACCCCTTCCAATCACAAGCTCCCATCCCCTGCCACCACTCCCAAATAGTCAATTACCAAGTCTTCTCAGTTCCACATTATAAATATTCCACAGCCACCACTCTGGTCTTGGCCTGAATTATTTCTCACCTGTATTTTTATAACAGCATCCTAATGCATGTTCCTGCCTACAACACTGGCCCTCTCGAATCTGTCCTTTCCACTGCCATCAGAGTGGCCCTTCATCCCCATTAAAAACCCTTCTATTGCTCTCCATTGTCTACATTCAAGATCAAACTCCTTACAGCTTTCCACTTCAAATGTATCATTGTGTCTGAAGTCCTTCAGCCACAAGGGACCACTTACAGCTCCTGCCCATACCTTCTGTACGCCCCTCTCCGTCTACCACATCCTCGCTTCAACAACACCCTCACCCAGTTTGACTAGTTCATATTAAAAACTCACTTCAGGCTGGGTGCAGTGGCTTACACCTGTAATCTTAGCACTTTGGGAGGCCGAGGCAGGTGGATCACGAGGTCAGGAGTTCAAGACCAGTCTGACCAACATGGTGAAACCCCATCTCTACTAAAAATACAAAAATTAGCCGGGCATGGTGGCACACACCTGTAATCCCAGCTACTCAGGAGGCTGAGGCAGGGGAATTGCTTGAACCCAGGAGGCGGAGGTTGCAGTAAGCCGAGATCGTGCCACTGTACTCTAGCCTGGGTGACAGAGCAAGACTCCATCTCAAAAACAAACAAACAAAAAACCTCAGTTCAGAGGTCTCTTTTCCTGGGAAATCTTCCCTGACTCCCAGGACTGCGTGTGAGTTCCCTCTTTCCCCCATGTAAAGACATTCTTGTCTTTAGTGTGTTCTCTGTTAACATTCCCTGTGCCTAGAACTTTACCTGACCTATGACAGGCACTCAATATATACTTGTCAAATGAAAATGTCCCAGAGCCTTCTGGAATTCCTCCACCACAGAATTTATCATGTACATTGTCTCCTCAAGTACACTGAAAGTTCTGAGAGTCAGAAACCATGCCTTTTTATTCAGTATTTTACCCTAGGTGCCTTTTATGATTTCTGGTGTGTACTAATGGTGTGTTTACTTTTGATAAACGAGGGTTGGCTGTTGAGGGGTGGAAACCTTGGGCCTGAACCAAGGGTGGGCTTTCTACTAAGAAACACATTTTCTTCTAATACAAAAGAATGTCAGAAGGGCTAAGAAAAGGCAGGAGAACCTGTCATATTGGACAACAAACAACAACAACAAACTAGGTGCAGGCCTCCTCTGGAGGGACCCTCATCTCCCTATGAATAAGAATTGCAGAATCCCCTTTGGTGCACAAGCTCAAACTCATTCCAGGCAGCTCTCTGTCCCTTTGCCATAATATTATGGGAGAGCAAAGCAAGCACAATGTGGAATGAAGCATATGCATGTATTATAGGAGTTAGCAGATTCTGGAAAAGCCATAGGCTGTATACATCATCTAATGTGTGTATGGGGCATGGAGAGGGGCAGTGTGGCATATAACAGGTGGCCAGGACTTTGGAACCCACAGACCCTCTTCCTCAGAGCAGAGCCTATTCCCTTGGCCTTGCTGAGTCAGGTGGGTATTAAAGCAGACTGCAAGATGACTCTTAGCCTTGATGACTGTATATAGGGAACTCTCAGTTCCAATCATAATCTCTCTGTGTCCAACAGGAGCTGGGACACTTCTCTAACACCTGGCCTACCCCCTGCCAGCCACTCCTTCTAGGGCCATTGCCCTGCTTCCAATGTTCCTGGCAAGGTACCTGGACACCATACCCCCCACTCTCCCAAACACACACATACAAACAGAGCCACTAACTTGCAATTGGCTGGTGGGACTAGCCCTAAGTCATGCCACTTTCAGAAAAGATGATGTTTTCCTGCACAGAGGAATTCCATAAACACTCACCAAGGGTTGAAAAAATGCTAAAAAGAGCACTTCTACTTCCAGGGAGGGGGAATTTGCAGAAATACAGAGTTCATTTCATCTAAAGTTCCTTCCTTCTCCCTCCACTTCTTTGAGAAAACTAAGTGTTAGGAAAGGAGACATAGATCAACCCAAAAACAAAGGATAAAGGAAAGCAGAATCTGCTATGATCTGTTAGAGCTGATGCAGGGACCTTAATATTAAAATCAACACTCAGGCAACTAGAGTTACTATATAATCCCTAAAAAAATTAGGCAAGCTAGAAAATAACTTCTAATTTCATCATGGAAGGCTTGGGAGTTTTCAGAGAAATTTTATGAAGAAACTAAGAGGAAAAGGAATTTGTTAAAGGAAATGCAAAGGCAAAGAGAAAGATGCACAGAGGCCGAGACGGGAAAGACAAGGAAGACAGAGGAGAAGCAAAGAGGAGAGAAAGAGAGGAAAGGAGGATGGGATGAGAGAGAGGACAGAAAGGAGGGGAGGAGGAGGAAAAAGAAGTAAGGAGAGAGAAGCACAGAACAGGTGAGGAGGGAGGAGGAGGATAGAGAAGAAGAGGGAACAAGGGGGAGAAAAATAAGTAGAAGGGGAAATAGTGAGTAGAGGGAAAAGAAAGTGGGAGATGACAGGTTAGACAAAAGATGAAAAGAGAAAATATGGTTTTGTATGTTCACGGTTAGAAGGAGTCAAGATCATCAAGCTCTTCCTCAGCAACCCTGGGGGTGTCATCCAGCCTGTGGACTTGCATAGCTTAGATGGCAGAAGACTAGCTGCATCATGAGAGAAGAGAGGGGAGAGAGATGGAGGCAGAGTAAGATATGGGCAGGCCATGGGTTCAGGTGGCCTGGGAAAGATTTGGAGCATGGCAATTGGGGTGGGAGTGTCATACTAAAGGCTGAGGCAAACTGGACAATCCAAAGATGCCACCAGCAGAACTAGCACCTCCATCCTCATCTGAGAGTCTCAGCCCTTACCTGAGCTGGGGGCCTAATTCCTGACCTGTCAGACTTGGATACCCTGGGCTGGATGAGGGCTGGCCCAAGGCTGGGTGGGGACAGGCCAAGGATACAGGCTTCTTCAGTGTAGGGCACAGCAGCTGTGGTGCCACTGATGATGTAGCTGTAGAAGGAGACCTCTAGGGTGTAGCAATAGGAAGTGTGGTCCAGGAGTCCACCGAGGAAGCGACGGCCAGTTCCTGCTTTCACAGCGTCCCGGTTAAAGGATGTGCTGGACTGTGAAAGACAGAGTAGGGAGGAAAGAATCACGGCACCTGCTGGCAATTGGATTGTGAGCAAATTTTACAACACCTCTGGGTCTCAGTTTCACCATCTGAAGAGTGAGATATTAACCCCTCATCACATGATTGTTATAAGGACTGATTAAATAAACATAATTAATGACAGCAGCAAGCAGAGTTCTTGAGGTGCAGTAACTGCCACTCAACGAATATTTGCGGAAAAATGAATGGAGACAGAGGGAGCAGGGAAAAGTAGAAAGAGAAAAAGAAGCAACTACATTTTGACGATAATCAGAACTAACATTTGGAGCTTGGCATGGTGGTGTGCACCCGTAGTCCTAGCTACTTGGGAGGCTGAGGTGGAAAGATTGCTTGAGCCTAGGAATGTGAGTTCAGCCTAGGCAACATAGTGAGACCATGTCTCTATTCTTTTTTATTATTATTTTATTTATTTATTTATTTTGAGACAGTCTCACTGTGTCGCCCAGGCTGGAGTGCAGTGGCGCGATCTCAGCTCACTGCAACCTCCGCTTCCCGGGTTCATGCCATTCTGCCTCAGCCTCCCGAGTAGCTGGGACTACAGGTGCCCACCACTATGCCTGGCTAATTTTTTGTATTTTTAGTAGAGATGGGGTTTCACCATGTTAGCCAGGATGGTCTCAATCTCCTGACCTCGTGATCCACCTGCCTCAGCCTCCCGAAGTGCTGGGATGTCTCTATTCTTTAAAAATAAAAAAAACAAAACAAAACAAAACAAAACAAAACAAAACAAAAAAACCCTAAAATTTGGGCAGTGCTTTCAATTTTATAATATTGTTTCCCATGCAGCATCTCATTTAGGCTTCAAAATAACCACTTGAAGTAGGTGTTCACATTTTATTTCTCTATAGATGAAGAAACTGAGGCTCATCGAGGTGGAGCAAGTAAGTGATACAGCACAAATCTGAATCCAGAACTGAGTGACTCCAGACAACCAAAGACTCTGCTTCCCTTAGGGACAGCTGATTCATGTCCAGAATCATTAGAGCATAGGAATCATGGTTGCTTCTTTACTAAGATGTTGACAGCAACCGTCACAATGGATAGAGAAATGGACAAGCATGTCGCTCTCAAGTCCTCTGTTCAAAGACATGCTCTACTCTCCACTGATTGCATGATGTCAGGCAAGCTGACTTATTTGTCTGAGCCTCAGTTTTCTCATTTGTAACTTGGAGGTGAAAATATCTCTTTCACAGAGTTGTGAAGGTCAGTTCACTTGGGGTTAAAAGGGCATTCTATGCTAACCCATGGAAATTTAAGTAAATGAACAGACCATGGTTTTAATAAGAGAATACGTATCTTATTCAGCAGGAGATAAAGGAAGAAGAAAAAGAGATAAAGCAAACACCAACACAAGAAAGGCACAGAAAGACTGTGAAAGAAACAGAGAAGTGTGTGTGTGTATGTGTGTGTCTATTTTTAAGGTAAAGGAAAAATCAGAACATCATAGAATGTCAGATCTAAAAGACCTTTGAAATCCATGTAGTAAACTCCAACTCTCCTGTTTCAGATTTGGGCACTGAGGACAAGAGAAGAAAAGAGAAGAGAAGAGAAGAGAAGAGAAGAGAAGAGAAGAGAAGAGAAGAGAAGAGAAGAGAAGAGAAGAGAAGAGAAGAGAAGCGAAGCGAAGCGAAGCGAAGCGAAAGAAGGGAAGGGAAGGGAAGGGAAGAGAAAGGAAGAGACAGCAATTGGACTAGGACAGATGACCTTGACTCCCGCCCTTAAGGAGGCTGCAGTGCAGAAACATCAGGCGAGCTCAGAAATAAGGCTCTCAGACTGTGCACCTTTTGTAGTCCCTGGAAACCTCACCCGTGTGAGAAGAGTCTCTGAGGCCTATGACCCAGCCTTCCAGGGAACTTGGACGAAGGAGGCCACATTCTTTTCTGAAACTGCAGTGGTCTCAAATAGACAGGGCCATCCTATAGAGATTCTTACAGAAAAAGGCATGGCTGTTTCTGCCCCACAGCTGCAAATGGGGAGCTACCTGCTTTGATTCTATCATTAAATGCTGGGTGACCTTACACTGAATACTCATCTTTTCTGGGGCCACTCTTTACTCTTAGGTGTAAAGAGGGGACTGGACTAAATAATCCGCCAAGTCCTTTCCTGGTTTGACATTAAAAGGTTCTGGGATTCAGAGTGCATCTTACCACGCAGAGAAATTCATCATCTCCACTAATGTCCTGGCCTGAAGCAATGGGCAGGTGAGTTTTCAGCTCATCAACTTCAAAAATTGCTATGACCTCTGTGGGCCTCTGCCCCTCTGGCCACATGGAAATAACAGGCCCCAGAGATTTCGTATCAAAACAAAGGAAAATGTGCAAAAACTCTCTCCCTACACCACATGCTGATCCCCTCCTTATCTTCTCTTCCTGCCCTTTTCCAATACTGCTTTTGCTATGAGTTTTTCCCACCCCACAGCCTCTCTAGTCCTCAGCATGTGAGATGGTTAGTAACAGCAACCGTCTCTGCAGTTCGTTGAGGTCTTTACGGCCTGCAAAGAACTTTTATATCAGAAACTGCATTTGCCCTCCCAGGAAGCTATAATGCACGCAGGATAGAAATGATCACCCAGCAATTACAAAAAAAATTGAGGCTGAGAAGGAGTCATGGAGAAAAGAATGGTGGGCATATAACCTCTGTTAGCAGATGTGTTGTGCTTATACAAAAGAACTGGGATTGGTAAAAGCAGACTGTGGAGCAAGGTCTGGCATGTGGTAGGTGCTCAGTGAGTTTCTTTTTCTTGTTAATGCTGGAGTCAACTCCATTAAACAAGGCCAGGAACAGTTGCTCATGCCTGTAATCCCAGCACTTTGGGAAGCTGAAGCAGGTGGATCACTTGAGCCTAGGAGTTTGAAACCAGCTTTGGCAACATAGTGAGACCCTGTCTCTACAAAATAAATAACTACATTTTAAAAAATTAGCCAGTAGTGACCAGGCACATGGCTCACGCCAGTAATCCCAGCAAACTGGGAGGCCGAGGTGGGCGGATCACCTGGGGTTGGGAGTTCGAGACCAGCCTGACCAACATGCAGAAACCCCGTCTCTACTAAAAATACAAACAATTAGCCAGGTGTTGTGGTGCATGCCTGTAATCCCAGCTACTTGGGATGCTGAGGCAGGAGAATCGCTTGAACCTGGGAGATGGAGGTTGCAGTGAGCCAAGATCATGCCATTGCACTCCAGCCTGGGCAACAAGAGTGAAACTCCATCTCAAAAAACAAAACAAAACAAAACAAAACAAAAACCCAAAACAAAACCAAATGCCAGTTCATCAGCCAGCCAAAATGCTACCTTCTCAAAGAGTCTCCCTCCCTGACTGGTAATGAGCAGTTTGAGAACATGGGCACATCTTGTTTACCTCTATCTTCATCACCCACACAAGACCTGGCACAGAGTTAGGTGTCCTGTGGAGCTTAAAGCAAACTGAATTGAGTGAGAAGGAATACAGGGAGGCAGGGTGTGGGGGGCTGGGGCTGGCTGAGAGAGAACTCCTGGCTTACATAGGAGAAGTCCTCAGCATTCTGGCAGAGGAGCTTGGGAAAAATGGCCTGCCTCTGGAATCGTTCCTCATCCTCAAAGATGTTGCCGTACATGAAGCCATTCATCATGGTGGAGTGGGCGTGGATGTCAATATAAAACTCCAGGCTTGTTTTCTGTTGAGAGAAAGGATAACAAATGAGAAGTCTGGGCCATAGAGCTTGCCTTTGAGGGACCAGACACTACACCACACACACACACACACACACACACACACACACACACACACATCGAGCTGATCCTGTGTGTCAGCCAATTTAGCAGCCATTTGCAATGTGAGGCGAGGGTTTAAGACAGGTGAGGATCAATTCCTCCTCACTTTTAACATGGTTTTCCTTCAGGGTGTGAAAGCACTACTGTTAGCATCCCTTTTAAGAGGTCTTCAGAAAAAGGGACATTTAGGTTGGGTTAAGTCATGATATTACTTACTCAGAACAGCTAACACATTCATGACTAGACATTAGTGGAATTTATTTCTCTGATTAATGAGAAATACCTTTGAGGTAACACAACTGTATTTACTTTGGGCCTGTTTGCAGTTTTGCCCCAACTTGGCCGTTTCTAGCTGGGAAGCTTGGTGTAAATCATGTCCCCACTTTGAGCCTCAGCTTCCTTATCTGAAAAATGGGTATTTTAATTCAAACCTCAGAGCATTATAGTGGGAATCAAACACAGCAATAATAATTACTATATTGCTTGCTGATATCTTGTGATATAAATAAAAAATAATAATTACTGTCTTTCACTGTATATGTAATACATGCCAGACACCATTCTTGGAACTTTACACATGAAGTCTTACTTAACTCTTTTAGTTAACCTTGTGTGATGATGCCACGTCTACTCCCCAATAGCATATAAATAAAGCATGAAGGAAAATGCCTTTGTAGTCTGTAAAGACGGCATTGACTAGTCTACCTCTGCTCTTTACTTACACATATTTAAGGCACTTTCTTGGTTGATATGGTATTATTTGTTAACCTTTCCTGAAGTTAGGAGGATTGTCTATAAAGAGCTCAGTGCCTGTAAGTAAAGGATGCTCAGTAACTACATGCTGAATGATTGAACAAACAATCCCAGAGAGATTGTTCCACATACTGTAATGGACTGGCTGAAAGAGGGGGTGTGGGGGGTGGGGTAATTTTTAGGCCATTAGATCTCCAATGGTCCTCAAATCCAACCTTCACTTCTTATATATCAGCCCAACATATATCCATTAACCCTTTCTGAGAATAACGGAAGACCTGCATGGGGAGGGGACTTGCCCAAGCTCACAGAATAACCGGGCTGACACTCAGGCCTCCTGCCCCCTCACACAATTAACTTATTGTCATCAATGGCCAACACTAGAAATAGTCAAGGCAAAATCTGGCCACCTCTCCATCCCCTTTCTAGTACATAGTCCTGGGAAAGAAGAAAAGTGCACATTTAGAAGGATTCTCCCTCCTTGGGATGCTTTCAAACGAAGTTAAAACCAAATGAAAACTATGTTGCTTCTAGAATGTGGGCTCAATGACTGTCATTTCATTTGCCTCAGAGTTGGAGTGAAAAATTATGTCTGCCAAGCTCCCAGTTCTCTGGGTAGCATAAGCTGTCTTTTGGGAGATACAAGATGCACTGCTCTATGTGATATTAAACTCATCATTTTCAGCTTTGGAGGTGGAATACACAATGATTCAACAGGAGCCCTATAAAAGTCATCTTCACAATTTTATTTTCTTCAATTGTCTGTCTTTTCCTCTCAGCTTTTGATGAGCTGCACAGGAAAGGAGGAGGTAGAAAGATGATTTAAGAAATGTGGAAGGAAAAGCTACAGTTTGTGTCTCTCGATGTCAGAGCTAGGGAGGGCCTTGGAAACCAGTTTCTCTGACCTTTCTCAGACCTGCTCTGAGTGGGGAGGTTGCTTGCTTAAGGTTGGCCAGCAAGTTAGTGAAAAATCAAGAATTAGAACCTAGCTTTTCTTTTACTTTTTCATTTTTTAAAAATAATTAAATTTTAAAAACTTATTTGCATAGATTTATGGGGGTACAAGTGTAATTTTGTCACATTTTTCTGATAACCATATAGGTGTGGCTTCCTCCATCCCATCCTGACAACTGGCAGCTGATGTGACTTCACTTGAAAGAACCAGCACCTGAATTATCTTGATTGATCATATAATCTGAAAGCCAAACGTTATAAAATAATTTATAGTAAAAAATCTCCCTTCTACCGGTCACCCAGTTTTGCTCCCCAGAGGCAGCTAATGCTATCAGGCTTGCATATCTCTTTCCAGAGATAGTTTGTAAATATCTCTGGAAATATTTCCTCCTCACCCAAACCCCCTGCTCCAAACACATGAATGATAGCACCATAAACACACCATTCAGATCTGCTGTTCTTCTCTGAATGTATCTCAGAGGCGATTCTTTCTTAATAAATAGTTACCTCATTCTTTGTAACTAACTAGTTCCTTATTGATAAATATTTAAGGTATTTCCAATCTTTTCTTGTTACAAAGAATGTCTGAGTGATGAAATTTGTATATACATTATTTCACACATATACAATTGTATGTAAAATAAATTCCTGGCTGGGCCCTGTGGCTCATGCCTATAATCCCAGCACTTTGGGAGGCCAAGGCGGGTGGATCACGAAGTCAGGAGTTCGAGACCAGCCTGGCCAACATAGTGAAACCCCATCTCTACTAAAAATACAAAAAATTAGCCGGGCATGGTGGTGGGTTCCTATAATCCCAGCTACTCAGGAGGCTGAGGCAGGAGACTCACTTGAACCCGGGAGGTGGAGGGTGCAGTGAGCCAAGATCGTACCATTGCACTCCAGCCCGGGCGACAGTGCGAGACTCCATCTCAAAATAATAATAATAATAATAATAATAATAATAATAGTAATAATAATAAAAAATAATAAATTCCTAGAAGTGAAATTTCTGGATCCTATGTGCATTTGCAATTCTGATTAATACTGACAGACTGACCTTAGAAGGGCCAGAACACTCCTAGCCTATTACCTTGACAATATAGGTGGAATCAAACTTTTTGATATTTGCCAATTTGATGGGTGAAAAGTAATATCTAAGATTAGTTTTAATCTGAATTTCTCTTAGTACTATATAATTATCTTTTACTGTATAGTTAAGCATATTTTCATATGTTTAAAAATGATTTGTGACCGGGCACAGTGGCCCCCGCCTATAATCCCAGCCCTTTGGGAGGCTGAGGTGGGCAGATCACCTGAGGTCAGGAGTTCAAGACAAGCCTGACCAACATGGTGAAACCCCGTCCCTACTAAAAATACAAAAAAAAAAAAAAAAAAAAAAAATTAGCTGAGTGTGCTGGTGGGCACCTGTAATCCTAGCTACTCAGGAGGCTGAGGCAGGAGAATTTCTTGAACCTGGGAGGCAGAGGTTGCAGTGAGCTGAGATTGCACCATTGCACTCCAGCCTAGGCAACAAGAGTGAAACTCCATCTCAAAAAATAAATAAATAATAAAATAAATAAACAAAAGTGATTTGCATTCTCTTTTCTAAGAACTCTGTTCATTGCCTTTGACCATTTAAAAAATCGGATTGTTGGGCTTTATTTCTGTTGACTTAGAGAAGCTATGTATTATAGAAATTAACCTTTATGTGTAATATAAAGATACTTTTGTCATTTGTCTTTCTGTTTTACTTCTGTTCATGTATTTTTCATGTAATTTTTAAATGCTGATTTTTGACACAGTTTATCAGTCTTTTCTTTTGTGGTTTCCTAGCTGAATTATTTTACTGTTGCTTCCATTTTATTATTTTGTTGTTTAGTTTTCAATGTTTTGTTTCAGTGTCAATTTATATGGCCGTGGAATGTGAGGTAAGGGTTAAATTTCACTGTTGCAACACCATTTATTGAATTGTGCATCTCTTCCCCACTGACATTTCTATCCCCCTTGACATTTGGTTGGGATCAAATGGAATGTGGGCAATGATGATAACTTCCAGACCTGCCCATAAAACTCCTCATACACAATTACCCGCATTCTCTCTTGCCCTTCTGCATGGGGAGCTACATGTAAAAAATGATGATATCCTAAGAAGAAAGAAGCCTATATCCTCCATTCAACACTTAGAGGACAACAGCAAGGAGAGTCACCTGATCTGCATCAGACTGGTGTGAGAGAGAAGTGAATCTTCACTGTATTAAGCCACTTAAATTTGGGGATTGTTTATTATGGAAGCTAATATCATGCATCTTGACTAGTACAAAATCTCAATTCAAAAAGCCTTATTTTATCCCTCAGGCTGAGTTAACAGCCTCCTCTGCACTCTCATAATTCAAGGTATATATCTCTCTCACGGGACTTACCACATGACATAATAACCCTTTATTTTCATCTCCCCCCAGAATGTGAGCTCTTTGAGGGCAGGGACCTCATATTGTTGATTTTTTTCAATCCACAGGGCCAGAATAAGGCCTTGTATATAGTAGGTCATCACTGAAGGTTTACAAAGGAATGAATAAGAGAATGAACTGATGGAAAGATAAGTGAATTAATGAATAAACAAATGCATCTCAAGCTTTTCCAACAGTAAAACTAGGTACTTTTCTGTGGCTGTGCCAGACCAAGGGGTATGTGTCACAAAAGTAGGGCCCTTAATTACAATTTGGGAATGAGAATAGAAGGTGGGGGATGGGGAGAGCATCTCCTTTCCTTCCAAACTTAAGAACCTTAATTAAAACAGAATGATGAAGGGCTGTCCCCTTGCCAGCAGCCAGCAGCTCATCTTGCAATCAGGGGCCTAAAGAGTAAATTAAAATCAGTGCCAATAAAATTAAAACTACTTTGGGGCATATTTGCAACATAATTTAGTGTGGAGTTTGCTTCCACCTAGACACCAGGGAGGAAATGGGTTTTCTTTCTCTATTCTGAGCTTCTGTCCTGCTTCATCTCACTTGGCACAGGCCAAAACCTGAGCTTGGTGCTCTGATGTGGGGCTGGATCCTTCACATTTGGGCGGCACTTCAGAGTTTATCACAAATTCAGTTCAGTGGAGGAAGGATCGTCCAGGGCAACCCAATCCAGGAAGGACAGAGGAGTTTTATCTTAGGTTTGGAGGTGCCAAGGGGAAGAAACTGAAGCTTAGGCAGGAATAACCACAAGTTGAGCAGGGTGAGCTTTGTGATTATTTCTGTTTTACAGAGGAGGA